AGTATAGGCGCAACCCTTTAAGCTGTGGGCCTCACTGGTTCCTGAATAGCTGAAGAGGAAAGGCTGTTAGGGAGCCATTTGTCCAGTCTGACCGTTATTTATACAGACCGTGGTGAGGTCCACCCAGTTGGTGGGCGTGGACTAAGCTTTTTTCAGTGCTGCGCTGTGCGCGAGGGATAAACCCACTAGCGATAGCCTTAAAGGGCTGAGCCTATACTCATAGAATCTGAGGTTACAATACGTAACCAATGTTTGAAGGGCTTCCGGTGCAGTGTAAACAACTTTTCCTACTTTCTTCCACGACTTTAGGTGATTATTGAGCAATAAAGAACTAATAAATTCTCTGTTTAATCAAAGCATTTTTAGATGTGGCAGGGACATTTGTCAGTGTCATAAATCTTTAGAGAGAAGCAAGACTTCACATGGTAGAATACATATGGGCTACAGAGCATATTTGTTAAATAAGTGTCTATGCAGTACACTGATTAATATAGGTATGTCTACAATGTTTCATAATGAAGATATGTACATAAAAAGAAAACAAAACAGGAGTAACAGCAGTGATCTCCTCTGTATGCTAGCATGGGAATGCTATACCTCATTGTCTGCGTCAGCAGTTAGTTCTGTTCCAACTTGCCTTCAGATCTACACCCTACAAAGAAATGTATATATTACAGAAAAAAATGCAGCTACTACAGATGGAAAATGAGCTTAATGGCAGAGTTACATTAAATTATTTAGATTAAGAAAGTTTTAAATTACTGAAGAAAATGTGTAGTTGTGCATGTTTTGACTGAAGACCTGGGATGAATTCTTTATTTCTGTAGAAGACTATTTTTCATGTGAAATGAACATCTGGGTCTATAACAGAGTTGATTATGCTGGTAATCTGATAACTATTATAGAACTTTAATTTATTATAGAACAGTTTCATTTAAATGCTTATTTAAATGAAACTGTTTCAAGTTAAAATCATATTAGATGACAAAATAAACATATTTCATCAAGAAAATTACTTTTCATTTATACTGTTTATTACATACACAATGTCACATGAGAAGGATAGAAGAAAAATAATGCATTCCTACAAACAGTTAATGAAAAAGAAAGTGGGTTGTATTTTTTATTTTTATTTTTTTACAAAATATTGGCATGTAGAATAAGAGAGACATAAGATGGAGCAAATGCACATTGAAACAAGCGATAACTCCATTATTCTATGCTAGGCAATGATCATGGGCTCAGACTACAAAGAGTATTCTGCTCCCAAACGTCAGAACCCACCAAAGATGATCTGCTTCAGCAGGTCACTGCCTGGAGGTGGAGGATAGAGATCTATGGAGAGAAAATAGTCTCAAAATACCTGTATGTGTGTAATAGTGGATTTGTGATGAGTGTAATCCTCTTTGTGTAACTTTGGATTGTTGTCTCAGTGCTCGGTACTTTAAATTGACCCAAATTTTATAAGAAGTTGTTTTTCACTTAAAGCAAAGACAGTGTCTTTGTTGTTCTCTTGAGTGTTAGCATATCTTGTGAATGGTACCAGCTCAAGGCATGAGCAAACCAAGCAGCTCTTTAGGCCCTCCAGAACGCTCCACAAATACTTGAATTTTAGCACAGACCATAGATCTAGAATTTTAGCATTTGTTCATTGAGAATGGTTTCAGCATAAATCAATTGAAATATTTTAAGCTGCGTAACATTTAAATTTAAGGTTTAAAGAAATTGTCAGGGTTACTTTTAAAAAGTGTAAAAAAAAAGAAACAATATTTATAAGCTATAATGTTTAATCTTTGTGTTTGAGCTCAGTTTGTTCAAAAGTATGTCTCATCAAATAAGCAGTTATCAGATGCAAGCAGATAAACCTGCCCCCCGCTATCCCCCAGAGATTCCAAGAAATTTGTATTGAAATACTGTTAGTGGTGGTGATGTTCTGATGGAGGGGCCCCTAAGTCATATTCTACTCAAGGCCCCATAGAACATTGGTGAGTCTTTCACATTCTTAATTTCTTTTAGTGGAAATGCAGAGCATAGTTATATGCTATGCCATACAGATTGTACCATACCTGAACAGCATGGTGCATTCCATACCATTGGTGCATTTGGTAACTAAATATCCAGTCAGATCTATACTGGCAAATTTGTGAAATTCTAGAACATTCTGATAAAATCTAATTGTATTTTAAATTATTTTGTTCACAGCTGAAAGAAGTAAAACAACAAAAACTTTATTCCTATAATTCAAACTATGGTTTTAAAACTCAACAAACCATCGTTTTGTGTACCTGTACACTCCTGGCATTCATGCTTTTGCAAGGAAATGTATAGTTAAGATTCAAGACATAAAAGCAACTACTTATGAAAGTATTGTTATCATCCTTTCTAAAAGCATCATAGAAGCAGTGGCCTGGAAATAATAGCTACTCTTAAAGGAGAAGAAATCCTGTGACTGAATAATATCTTAACATATTAAGGTGTTTAAGTTTGGTTCATATCAGCTTAGTGAATCCTAACTTCTCTTTGGTTGAATCCGCTCTCAGTTAGAGTGAACTCAGCTTCCTGCTGTCATAGTGCTCTGGTATAGAAGGCACTCTATCTCTGCTGGCATCACTCTGTAAATACAGTTTTTTTTTCCCTGAACAGCTTTATCCTTCTGCACTACTCTGTTTATTGATGCTGGATATTATTTCAGCTGTCTGTCTGTGTCTTATGTAGTCTGCTGAGTCGAAGTGAAACCTTGAGACTGAAATGCTTTGTGCTCTGAGAGTAAATGTGACAAACTGTTCAAAGCACCACTTGTGATCGATACTTGTGATCGATGGACGGGAAAACACCACATGTTTTCCCATCCACAGATATGTTTCTACCTGCTGAGATAATCTCACTACTCAATAACGGTTTTTAACAAAGGAATGATGCCCTGATTAAAAAGCTTGCGAGAACATGTGGTGAGATTGGTGATGGCAGTACGATGCTATAGGACACTTTTTAACTTATAGCTTAGAGTGTTGAGTTTTCTTTTCAGTGTGGTTTCGGCACAAAAGTTTGAAATATGTGTGCATAGTTTCATATTTTGTTCTGATATACATGATAATTCCTGATAAGGAATTTATCCTGACTTTTGTATGTCGGTGCATATGGACACGGACACGGATTTAGAGCCGTCTGCATCAACTTCTTCTGTGATGGCTGGGCCACCCTCTGCTGCTGCAGAGATTTACTTATTTACATGTTTAATTTCCTCTTGGAAATTAAAGAATTTTGGGACTGAAACTATTTTTGAATCTGATTCATCTATATATATAATTTGTAAATTTATGGTATCTTACAAATGTATAGTATCTTACAATATTAATAATATATATATATATATATATATATATATATATATATATATATATATATATATATATATATTTGCCCAGTTGGAGACCCCCAGCCCAATTAAAAAAAAAAAAATTGTTTGATTGACATGGCATTTGGCTGACTTTTCATCAGGAATGTATTTTTATGTTTTTAAAATGAAGGACCAGCATGTCTCAAACAATGCATTTGTATAAAATGCACATGCTTTGAGCCGTTACTGACTTTTCATTTTAATTTTTATAGCATTCTCAAATTATAGCATGTTGTATACTGTCCAAGCAGGTACTACATACAAACAAGAGGGAGACATATAGAAAAGAAAAAACATATAAAAAATGTTACAAGAAAGAAATCTCTATATTGCATTAGCTCAAATAGGTTGTTAATAATAACTACATATAGCTCAGGCTTTTAAGTTGTTGTGAGTGGCTCTTAAAAGAGCCATTGTGGGTCAGTCCTGTGGAGAACATGATTATAATGAGGGCTTCCATGGCACTGCTCCCTCTTCATAGAAGTAGGCCATGAATGATTTTCTGGTAGCACAGTTTGCTCTCATCTGCTCCACACCTGGAAGTGGTTCTATGTGTATTCTAGCTCCTATCTGTGCAGGTGCCTGCCCATCTGCCCTCAAGAAATAGTTGAGAACACGAGTGCCCTTCACACGTTTCTCCACAACTTCTGGGTAGATTTCTAGCTCGCGGCGAAATATTCTCCACCAGCAAGACCATATGTCGAACGAGTCTTCCACCACCAGTCGAGCCCGTGACAGTCGATTATTGAAGACACGCTGCTCCAGTGTGGGGCCGCTGCTTCCAGGAAAGGGCCACATCAAATTTCTGTGGAGTGGAAACGCCTCATTTGCCACGATGACATGTGGCAGGAGTGCTCTGTGGAAAGCTCCAGGGAGGTAATAGTCGGGAGGCAGATGGAGTGTGCAGGGCCTGACCAAAGGTGGACTTGGCCAAGATCCCACCATCACTCTTTCTGCCATATTCTCCAACATTGATCCCCCTCAACTTATAATGGGAATCAAGAAGGGATAGAAGAACCAATGAGTACTCTCCCTTGTAATTACAGAAAAGGAAGCCAATGTTGGGGGGTGCTTTCAGCCTCACACGTTTCCCATCCAGAGCTCAACAGCAGACAGAGAAGTTCCATCACTCCTCAAACTCCTCCACAATAGACTTCCACTCACCTGATCCAGGAACGTCCACAAACTAAGCAGTCTGAGATAGCTGTAGCTACATCTGGTATAATGGTGGACACAGTGGAAATACCCATCGGAAGCTGCTTGAAATAGTCCTGTTGGAGTCACCGGTTGCAAAAAAAAACCTGCATTAAAAAAAGGGTAAATATTCGATTTGTTTATAACAATTTAGTTACAAAATAAAAGGGATAACAAATAATGAATTAAAAGTGTTTAGATTTATGGTTCAAACACACCTAATTCATGCCAGATTTGGATTTACTTCATTCTTGTTTGAGACCTGGAATAAACATTTCTAGCTTGTTAAGTAGAAAGGTTTCTACTAAGACGTTAAGTAGACGTCTACATTCTCATTAGCAGACGTATAATCTGATCATTTTATATTAAGATTTCTTCCACTGATAAATGTTAAAGTCAGTTGCTGAATGATACCTACTAACCTCAAACAGCTGGACAGCTGTCCTTCTGCTGAAATTGAGCGCCTGTAATTGGTGTCTTGGTAGGAAAAATGGGAACCGATGCAGGTCAGCAGATCGTCAAACTGCAGTAGGGAGAGATGAAAATTACGCTTATAGAGTAAGACCTCTTACATGGCAAAAAAGAGAAAGAGTTATGATGATTCTGATTATATTGGGATGGCAGTTATGAATATTATATTTCTTCTATAAAGTTTAAAGAATAAAGGTTTCCACATACTCGGCCGTACTGTGAATATTTCGAGTACAGATTTTTTACATTTCTTGTGACAAATTATTTTATTCCTACAATTCTAATGGGTACTAACAAGTTTCTCAAGAGCTAGTTTTCTGGGAAAATGTGGTGTTTTATAGACCACAAACAAGAGGGGAGGCCAGTGTAGTGATAAAGGAACTGGAGTGATCTGATAAGACCAGGGGCGTCATGCATAAAGCATAGCGATTGTATACAGAGACTGCAGGGCAATAGCAGATCTACCAGAGCAGCTTTGGATGGAAATTGTAAGGTCCCCTTTCGAAGAACCACTTTTGCTCAAAGTGCTCCATCTGTGAGAGGATCTGCAGTTTGGAACTCACTTCCTGTTCATTTAAAGTCTGTA